CCCCCTAGACCCTCAGCTTCCCCAGGACAGGAATCCTGACTTCTGGGTCTGTCCTTCCCCTGGAGTTCAGAGCCAGGAGCTCACAGGAGGGTGGGCCAGGCACCATGCGGAGCCAACTACATGGACTTCCTTACCTGATCCCTGCAACCGTCCAGGTTTTTTTGTCCCCATTTTTGAGATGAGAAACTGAGGCTGGCGTGGTCTTGGGCTGGTGCCTAGGGCCTACAAGGGTGGCTGCTAACAGGGCCGAGAAGCCAGGGGGCTTCCCAGCAGGGGAGAGGAATCCAGCGACACACAGAGCCACTTCCCCCGAGGGTCTGGTGGGACGCGTTCCTGGAGTTCTCCAGGGAGTGACAAACTTAGAAAGGTTTTCTTCTTTCCAGTCACCTCCTTCAACCATATTTGGTCGAGTGCCCGTTGGCCTTCCCTTACTGGTACCTCCTTCAAACGTCACCTCTTCAGAGAGGCTGTTTGCCCCCCAGGAGTAAGCTAGTCCCCTCTGCTCCCTCTCCCCGCTTTTTTCCAAACTAGTGTCTCTCCAGGTGGTGTTCTCGGGCTGGTATCCCCCGCAGATTGCTATCTGTCCAGGACCGCTTAAGTGCAGAAATGGAGAGTACGTGTAATTCGTTTTAACTGTATTTGACAAAAACATTGGTCTGTGACAGACTGGAAACTTTAAAAAGTGGTTCCTCAGCACGAATAATTTGAGAGACACTGCTTGAAGCCCTTCTTGCCCCTTGCCAGTCGCGACTGTTCTCATTTGCCCTCTTCATCCGGCCCCCCCCCAACGCTGTCCCCTCCACGCCAAAGATTTGCTCTGCTTTCCTCACTGCTGATTCCCCACGTCGAGGGCAGCACCCAGCAGGTAGTAGGCACTCAGCACACATCCGCTGAACGAATGATTGAGCGAATGAATGAATCAATCAATCTCAAGTAGATCCCATTACCTTCTGGTTACCTTCCGTCATTGAAACTCAATCCAGTCCAATTTAAAACACCAAACTCATGTCTGTTTCAAATCTCTTCCTCCCCTTCCCCACTCAGAACAGGGCTGACTCACTGTTGAGGGCGCTGGAGGGGTGGTTGCTCCTAGGAGGTGGGGTCCTGAGGCATCGCCCTAGGGAGCCCTCATCCTCACCCAGGCAGCCCTCCCACTCCTGCCTCCTCGTCCTTGTCTCCGGGCTCCTTCACAGGAGCCACAGGAGTGGCTGGCCTGCCTTACACTGTCCCAAAGCTGGAGGCCACCAGCAAGCCTTCCCTGTCCTTTATCTTTGTGTGCCCTGCACTCTGCGGCACCCGCCTTGTCCTGCGGGCACACACTGTCCCAGCCAGCTGCCAGCCTCCTGAAACCTCCAGGCCAGAAGCAAGCCCAGCCTCTGTACTCCTGGGACACAAATCTGGGCGCAGTAGTGCTGGGTTTGACAAGTGTTCCAGCTGGGGAGTGACGTCAGACTCTCCTCTCAGGCCTTTCTAGTCCTTACACATGATTCTTCCAGAGCCTGCTCCCGGCCCTCCGTGAAGGGGGCACCCTCTCCTTCTCACAGTGGGGAGGAAGTCCCGGCACCAGGAGGGCTGACCACTGAGCTTCCCTCCCAGCCTCCGGTTTCTTCTATAGACCAGGACAGGGCTTGGAGCACCAGGTGCTGGGTGGTGGTAGAGGCTGGTCCTGCCTCCTCTCATAGACCTGGGAAAAGAGGCTCTCTCTGCCCTTTTGTTGGTGGCTTCACTTAAGATGTGGAGGACTTGGCACCTCTTTGTCCAGGTTTGAGAGTGTGGCCCTTGGAAGCCCCCCTCAACATCCTGCCGTATGCTGTCACACGTGGTGTCACGTTAAGAAACTTGGCAGCCTTTGTAGGGCATGAGGTGAGAGGTGGCTGCTGAAAGGTTCAAACAGATGGGGACAGAAAGCTCACTTCAGAGGCAGTGTGGGGGTCAAGACCAGGAGCCGTAGGATGGTCCTCGCACCGGGCAGGGGCGGCTGCCCGAGGCCCCATGCTTTAGAGGGCTTTGGCCCTTTTCGGGCCATGCCCCTCTCTATGGGGTGAGCACTCCGCGAGGCCGAGGGTGCTGTCCACCAGGAGTCTGTGTCTGCCTTCTAGATCACACCCCATGTCCATGAGCTGGAGGGCAGGGTCCCTTATTGGCTCACCCAGAGCAGGCTGGTGTGGGAAGGCCTTAATGACGCTCTGAATGCTCTTCTTCCCCCTTTCGCTCCACCCTTGCTCCCCCACTCCCCACTCCCTTACCCTCCATGTCCTCCCTCTCCTTTTCTCCTCCCATCTACCCCCACTTTGCTTTGCCCTGCCTGACACCCCGCCCCACCCTCTGCCCCAAGGTGAAGGTCTGGTTCCAGAACCGCCGCACCAAGCAGAAGAAAGACCAGAGCAGAGACCTGGAGAAGCGGGCGTCGTCCTCGGCCTCCGAGGCCTTTGCCACCTCCAACATCCTGCGGCTGCTGGAGCAGGGCCGCCTGCTGTCCGTGCCCAGGGCCCCCAGCCTTCTGGCGCTGACCCCTGGCCCGCTGGGCCCGCCTGCCGGCCACAGGGGCACCTCACCGGGTGACCCCAGGAACTCCTCTCCGTGCCTCAACCCAGTGACCTCGGCCTCGGCCTCCCCGCCGCTGCCACCCCCGCGGCCAGCCCTTCGCTTTTCCGCTGCCGCGCTCCTGGACCTGCCTGCCTGCTATGAACTCGGCTCCTCGGCCTTCGAGCCCTACAGCAGGAGACCAGGCAGCCCTGGCGGTGGCAAGAAAGCCAACGTGTAAGCCTCCACCCCCGTGACACTGAGTCCCCAAGCACCGCACGCCCCCGCCTGCCCTGCCCCGTGGACCGCCCGGAGCCGGCTCGCGGAGCGCAGGGACCAGCGCACGCCGGCCCGGCCGCCCCCCAGCTCAGAGACTGTCCACCGCAAGGCCTTGGTCCCACAGCTTGTGTGTGTGAGTGCAGTGTGCGTGTGTGTGCCGCTCACGGAAATAAAAGGAAAACAATGACAAGAAGGGAAACAAGAGTCCCCACAGCACCACCACGGCTCTCAACCCCCTCTCTCCTCCTCACTGGGAAGGAGGACGCGCTGAGCCTGGGGCGCTCTCCCGGGGCCGGGCGGAAACGAGAGCCAAGCACGTTCACAGTTGCGGGGTGGGGATCGGGGTTCCACACGTGTGGGGGCTGACAGGCACCTGACTCCTACTCCCAATTAGAGCTTCCGCCTGCGCGTTGCAAAGCCCGTGGTGGCAACATTGATGCTTTTGTTGGTTAAACATTGCTCTTTGCAAGCTCCTCTTTGAAACAAAAATATTCCAGAGGTAGAAATGTTAAATCCTTCAAGAGGGGTAAACAATGAAAGGTCAGATCAGGATCCAGAGAGCCAGAGCGGGTAAATCCAGGCAAGATCCCACACGCCTTAGAAAGCACACCGGTCGCGATCACCACCCCACGAAGCACTTTTTAAAAAGTGTTCTGTTTTTGTCTTTTTGTTCAAGTAAGATGCTTGTATTTAACTTTTTGTTGGGCCACGACTGTGGATTTATAGCAGGTTGCAAAGAAACTGTAGAGAAATGCTTGTACCCTCCACCCAGTGTCCCCCTTGCATTTTCCAACACCAAAGCAGAAAGTGGACATGGGTACCGTGTGTGCATGGTTCCCTGTCATTTTATCACCCATGTGAGATCTGTGCACCCGCCACACTGCAGTCAAGGTGCAGTTCTGCCAGTTACCACAAAACTCTCCCCTTCATCGTCACCCCCCCCCCCCCCCCCCCCCCGAGACTTCTTTGAAAGAATGGAAATCCTGAAAGTGGGACCGGGGACCGGAAATGGGTCCTTAGGCCAGAGGTTGGAGGTGAGGTTTCAACTCTCTGGGGAAGAAAAGACAAGCACGTCCACTCCAGTCTGCTCCGGGAAAGACATATTTGGTTTCAGACTGGCTGTCCTGAGTCACCCAGACAGGGCTTCCCCATACAGTTGTGCTTCCTCCCCTCCCTCTGTGCTGGCAGTGTCATTTGGCAAGGTGCTTGGAAATGCCCGGACATCCTGAGTCTGGAATGAAACATGGGGATGACCTGGGCAGACCTTGGCTTCAGTGGGTCGAGCCACACCTAGTGCCCACCTTGCCTTGTCCAGCAGACCTGTGCCCCATGACTCCTTTAGCCACTTGACACAAGGAGGGTTCCTCCATTTATACTTTCTGCTCCGAGCTGAAAACTGCCAGGGCAGACCTGCTGCATGACACCCTAGAGGTAAAATATAAAAAGGTAAGACAGGGTCCTAGGATTGGATGGAGGGAGACCTGCCCTGGTTCCCGGGAAGCTCTCAGTATTATGAGATCGAAAGGCTTAAAGAGACCCAAGTATAATGGAGGAGACATAAGCTCAGCTCTCTGGGGGCTCAGAGTCTAGGGGCAGTGACAAGAGACAATGCTCCAAAAGGGCATGACAAAGGGAAGACACCAGATGTGTGGTGAATCCAGAGTGCTGGAGGATGCAGGGAAGGCTTCCTGTGGGAGGTGGCCCTGAAGCTGGCAGAAGAATGATCCTCTATAGATATTCAAAAAAAGATGATGATGGAATGGTGCGGGGGAAGAAGTAGCCAGGTATGATCAGGGCAAGGGGTGCAGGGTGAGGGCAGGTCAGGGGAGACAGTGAGGAAGCGACAGTGAAGAGAGGGCAGCCTGCCAGAAAGTGCATGTGGTACAGAGACCAGGAAGAGATGTGGTCTGGAGCAAGGGGCTGTGAGAGCACCTGAAGTTCTAGGGGGAAGAGCTGAGTTCATACCGGCTGCAAGCTGGGGGCAAACGAAAAGCCAAATTCAGAGGTTAGAGGGCCAGCCTTACCCCTGCACACCTCTCCTCCCCTCTGCTGCTGCGGCACGTGGCTTAGGGCCCCTCCCAGATCTGGAAGAGCTCCAGGACACGGTTTCCATGTTTATAGTCAACAGGGAGGAGGGGAGTGGCGAGGGGAGGGGTGGCCACCGAGGCGGTCTGATCAGCTCCCTCCAGCTCCGGCCTGGCCTGAAGAGTTTGCGCTAGCCACCAGCAGGCTCAGGTCCTCAGCTCCCAGCCTGCCGCCTTGCCATGGCCACAAGGGTAGACAGTAGGCCCAGGGGGCTCCCCGGCAGTGGCTGTGACCTAGGCACAGCCCGGGAACACATGCAAGCGGTCACCCGAAACTACATCACCCACCCCCGTGTCAGTGAGTACAGTCCCCGCAGTGGGTGAGGGTGGGGGCTGCTGGGTGGCTCGGCTTCTTAGGCTCAGGGAAAGAGGAGGCTCTGAGGCTGAGGAAGATCTAGGGGGCTCTTGGTCCAGCAGAGTGAGGCAATGGACTGCCCAGACAAGGGGCCACCTCTGCAGATGGGGGGATGGGGTCCCTAGCCCAGGCTATCCCAAAGGAGAAGGCAGGGGAGTTCCTTGCGGGAACCTCTCGGTCATCACCCTTACCCAGCCCTGAGACCCCAAGTCCAGAGAGAGCTCCCCACTGCCCCAAGGGTGTGTGTTTGTGATACATGCTCTGTGTGAATGTGTGTGTGTGTTGGGGGTGTGTGTGCGTGTGCGCCAGAACACTCAGCACGAGGAAATGTATGATCAGGTGTTCTCAGGGAATGCGTGCGGCAAGGTGGACCATGTATGCATTCTCAGGATGGGGACAGACACGCCACTGTGTCATGTCAATGGGTACATGTCATGTGTGCCTTTGGGGGAAGGTGTCTGTGTGTATAACCCAGGGGAAGGAGCGTGCCTGGTTATGTGCGTGCTTCCACCTTCACTTGGGTGAGGATAGGTGTAAATATGCGTGTGACAGCTTGCAAGTGTATATGATCAGAGGGAGGAAATGTGTAACGTACCTCAGGGTGAGCGTGTGGTTCCGTGCACGCGCATGCGTGCTCATGGGGAGAATGTGGGTATGTGGTCAGGTGATGTCATATGTCTGTGTCTGTACAGCTGGGGGCAGGGGGAGTGCCTGGCACGGGGAGAATTCAGAATTCAGAGGGGGCCATCCTGAGGTGTGTCCAGATATCTGGGGCACAGAAACCAGTAAGGCTCTGAGGACCAAAGGGAGTACCCCCTCCATCTCTCCTTGCCAAGGTCATTCTCCAATTCTCGAATTCTCAGGCAGCCCAGCTCACTGGACTAAACCGGCCTGGCCAGCACCGGCCAAGCAGAGCCAGAGGCTCCTAACAGGGCATGTGTGGAGAGAAGCTGGCCTAGCACAGCCACCCCGCCCTCCCCCTTCGTTCGGTTGTTACCCAGACCGTAGGGGGAGGAGCCACCTGACGGGGCAGCCCAGAGAGCCGGGTCTGCATTGAATGGGGCTGGCATCCGCCCAGAACGGACCTAGTGCAAAGTGGGCAGGCCCGGGGTGCAGAGGAACAGAGCAGGGGGTGTGAGGCACCTCCAGAGGCCTGAGGCAGGCACTGAGGGGTGGAGCACATTCCAGCTGAGGAGGAACTGAATGGGACCAGATTTAGCAAGGAGGCCCTGCAGGCCCTTGCGATGGAGGCATGGGGGAAGCGCTGAGGCCCAGATCCTCCCCTGGGGCAAAGCAGGGGTCATGAAGGCCCAGAAATACCCTGTGACTGGGCCCCCACTTGGGCCCAGAGCCCAGGCCTGGTGGAGATCTGAGCCCACCCTGGCAGGCTCTTCCCCCCCACCCCCTGCCGAGTGCCCTCCCCAGGACCCTGCCAGGTACCACCTCACCCCAGGGCCCCCTCCAGCCGGTTGCCTCCAGCCAGCACCTTATTTAGAGTCAACAAGCCCTGGTACAGGGAAACACCCAGGAGATGTGACCCAGGCTGGAACCCAGGGGTGGCAGCGCCCTCATGTCTGCCTCTGTGTCACCTCATGGGGCCCTCACCCTTGGTGAATGTGTCACACCCAACAGCTGACCCCGAGACAAGGTTCCGCAGAGGGGGAGCCCCTCCACCCCTGACTCTTCTCCGCACCTGCATTAAAGATGTTCCTGCAGTGACAAAGGCTACCGCCTTTGCTGCACACCAGTGCCCTCATAGGGTCCCCCCAGGGGCCAGCCTCCCCAACCCAGGAGCAGATCGGATTCCTCAGTGTGCTTCGGCACCCACAGCTTTCTCTGGTTCCCACCCCCTCCCTCCTCTGGGGGCCCTGAGGGGTTTCCTCCCTGAGGGGTGAGGATGGGGGTGGTGGGAGAGTGTGCAAAACTAGAGCTGCGCCCTCAGGTCAGGAGAGGCAGGACTCCTGTGTCTCTCTCTGCCTGTCTCCCCCAGCCTGGCCTCCAACTGGAGGACTCTATGGACTCTACGGATTTCTGGGCAGGAGAACTTTAAGCAGAGACAGAAAGCCTAGGAGGAGAGCTGGGGGACCAGAGGGCAGGGATGGGGCAACGGGCTGCCAGCCCCCCCAGGGCTTCCTCAGCCGTGGGTGGGGTGAGTCCAACAGAAGTTCTCCTGGAGGAGGAGGTGGACCAACAGGCCTGAGGCCTTAAGGGTGATTTCACTGCAGTGGCTGAGGGAATAAGCCAGAAAGGGGGGGGCAGGGTAGAATAGCATGGGGGTGAATCCCAGCAATATCTGCCCTGGTTAAGGGACCCGGCTGCCTCCCTCAGAGCTAGAGCTCTTTCCCCATGGGAAGGACATGGCATGGCGCTTTAACTGTTGTGTGGGGCAGAAGGTGCTTGGGGGGGTTGGGGAGGCAGTAGGGGGAGGGGGGCAGGGTGCAGCGGGAGCAAAGGTTGGACCGACAGGCTGTCAGCCGGGCTGGAGGGGCAGAGCCAGGTCAGATCACCCAGGGGCTGGAATGCCAAACCCCCAGCTTTGCTGCCTGCCTTGGTTTCCACCACCGAAAGGCCAGAGAGTTCCACCCAGCAGGTCTTGGGCTGATTCTAAGAAGCCTCGGCCCTCCCTCCCCTAATCCGTCAGGAGGGGATCAGGGAGGAGGTGGGGGACCTGCTGGCCCCTGGCTTGCCCCCACCTCTGCCTCACGCCTGGGCGGCCTGCACAGTCCTCTCCCAGGACGCTGCAGGTGTGGCTGGGCAGGCCCTAATTAGTGGGCTTCCAGGAGCCCCGCTGAGCCTTTGACAGGGGAAGGCAGCGGGGAGATGGGGGCAGGGAGGGGCGCCAGGCCTGCAGCCCTAAGTGCAACCCTGAGTGTCAGCTAGGACAATGGAGAAGGGGAGGGGGCAGAGCAGAGGGAGGGAGTGTCTGCAAAGTCTCAGGAAGGCCTATTGAGGGAGTGCCCCTCAGAGGTCTTCTGGGCCAGCCGCCTGCCTCCAGCATGACCCTGCCCCCCTTCACCTCACCAGGGTTGACCAGTAGGTCCCAAGGCTGGGGGAGTGCCACAGGATGCTGACTGACTTGTGGTGTGCCCCAGGAGAAATCAGCCAACTTCTGGGCCTCAGTTGGCCACTGCATGCGATGGACACAATCAGTTGGGGGTGGGTACACACAAAAAGCCTGGCTTCCCGACAAGGACACCTTTGTTGCTCAGCCACCACCTTGGCTGTGTCCAAACTGGACAGCCTTGAAGAAAAGATGTTCTCTAGTCTTACTGGGGAGACACAGAGCTCTGGTCTGAGTGGGGGAGACATAATCCAGCTCATTAAGGACCACAGCCTGGGGAAGACACCTCTAGGGTGCCCGCCTGGGGGCTGTGGGACTTCAGAGGGGAGCAGAGTCAGGGGGCTGCAGGACTCAGTCAAGGGCAGGGCGTTGAAGGATATGAAAAGCCAGATGCTGAACAGAAACAGCCAGAGTGGATTATCTGCAGTGAAGGGCCCAGGCTATGGAGTGACGGACTCATTTAGAAAGCCCAAGAGAGAGAGCCAGGCCTGTGCCTCTGGAAACCCAGAAAGCCGACTTACGGCTGAGGCTGGTGGGATGGGCTGGGGGCTCACAGACCGAGGGCCCTGCCGCAGGCAGCATTCCTCCTGGCCTCTGGGCTGCCCCCAGCTGCTCACCACTGCTCCCCCCACCTCAGGTGCCCTCCCCAAGGTAGCGCTGTGGGGATTTCCACAGGTTTCCCAGAAAGAAGCTGTGAAATGGGGGAAGCCCGCTGTGAAGAAAGGGAGGAAGGTGAAAGACTTGACTGACTCTGAGGCAGAATTGGAAAGAGTTCCCTGGGGCTTTGTGGACCTTGAGCCCCATTCCCTACCCCCCCCCCAGCCCTTTTGGCCAGTCTGGTATTTTCTCTATAGGGCCAGCAAGAGGCCAGCTCTTCCCAGGGCTTTTTAAAATGAGGCTCTGTTCCACTGTGCCTGGTCCCTTGGGGTGGCCTAGAGAGAAGCCAGAGTGGAGAACGCCAGGAGAGGGTGGAAGGTGAGCAAAGGAAGTCAGCAGTGGAGCGAACTTGCCAGAAAGTGGGCTGTGAAGGGCAGCAGCTGTGCAAGGACTGGGGCTGAGGGAATGGTTTTTGAGATGGGAGATACCAGGGGCGCCTGGGTGGCTCGGTGGTTAAGGGTCTGCCTTCGGCTCAGGTCATGATCCCAGGGTCCTGGGATCGAGCCCCCACATGGGGCTCCCTGCTCGGTGGGGGAGCCTGCTTCTCCCTCTCCCACTCCCCCTGCTTGTGTTCCCTCTCTCACTGTGTCTCTCTCTATCAAATAACTAAAATCTTAAAAAACAAAACAAGATGGGAGCCACCAGAGCTTGCTTGATGGGAGGGCCAACAGAGGGGGCCGCTGGCTCTCTGCCCCAGACAGCAGTCATCTCTGGGGACGGACCCCGGGGCAGGAAAGGTTGGCCTAAGAGGGAAGGTTGGATAGATACCTCCTCCCGTCCTCTGAAGGAAGCTGAAGGAGTTCCCTGCTCCAGGTCCAAGCCCAAAAGGACGAGTCTTCTCGTGCTCCTTGTTCTTGAGTTTTCCTAGCCGTCCGTAAGCTCAGAAGAGCCTTGTAAACATCCCCACAAGGATCGCCTTGCCCAGTCGGTCTTCCTAGCCCAAGGCCCAGGAAAAGGAACATAGATCGGATGAGGGGTTTGACCACTGAGCCCCAGAATGGGGAAGACGTGAGCTGGGGGCGTTTGGTTTTTCTTCGTGTGGGGTGACTTGGCACCAGGCTTGCACGGAAGCATGAGGGCAAGTGGCTGAGATCCCAGCCCCAGCTCTGCCACAAGCATGCTGGGTGATCCTGGGCTAGCTTTTTCACCCCCATTCTCCTCCGCTTTTGAAAAGAGGGTTAGACCACTCTCCCCTCTGATGTTCTTCCAACCTGAGTGATCCGGTGACCTTACAGACACTCTGACCATCCTGCCTTGTCAGGGCGCCTCATCTCAGCTGTCCCACTGGTGCTTCCCAGGGACCCCAGGAAGAGCTGTATATCCCAGGGTCATGGTCTCCCAGCTAGCCTCCAGCAGAACCAAGATAGGCTTCCTGTCTGCCAGTCCATGGCTTTCCTGTTGGGGTTCCCCAACACTGGAGTTAGAGGCTGTCTGTAAGCTGAGCTCATTTCTCCATTTGTGGGTCTCTCCAGCGACTAGGACTAGGGCATTCTTCTCCCTCCTTCCTTGTCACTCTTTCCCCTCCCCCCACAGGCACTACAGGGAGCCCAGGTTGTCCAGGATCCCCCTTGGCAAGGCCTCATGACAAGGCAGGGACCCTGGCTGGTTTTTCTCACCAGTGCCTGCCCCCCCCCCCGACAGGCGCACATGCTCACAGACACAGTGCTCAGTCAGTGTCGAGTGACCGCGGAGGGCCACAGAGGGAGGGCAGTTCTCTCCTCATCTCTAGCTGGGGGCCAGAAGCTTTTGGAAAATGTTGTGGGTCTGAGAGGAGGGAGTGGGTAAGATGCGGGCTGAGGCCAGAGGGGAAGAGGGGAAACAGCCTCAAGATAAGAAAGACTTCTTCGTGGCTGAGGGGGAGGAGAGGACTCTGAGGGGCCTCTGCCCTCACCCTGGCCCTCCTCCAGCCTCCTGCAGGTGTCCAAGCCAGCAGGGGGCCCTGCGGGCAGGGGCATGACCCTTACAGCAATGGTGGCTGGCCCTGTCACAGCTAATGACCCTGACAGCCCAGACTGGGAAGGGGGTGGGGGTGGTGCTTACAGGGAGGGAAAGCAGAGGATGCCTCTGTGTGCGTGTGCGTGTGCGTGTGCGGGCGCGTGCGTGTGTGTCTGGGTGTGTGTCTGGGTGTGAGACCCTCACCTACCTCCACCCCTCCCCCAGCCTACAGGACTGTGTGCAGCGTCAATGGGCCCCTGGTGGTGCTGGACCAGGTCAAGGTAAGATTTCCACTTCCTCCCAGAGCTCCCCAGCCCCTGTGCAGGATTTCTTCTAAATTGCCCTGTTCCTAGCTGTCTCCCAAGGGCCCACCCATCCCTTGTAATTCCGTCACCCATCCCCACGTTCTTCCTCCCCAGCTGTCTCCCCAGCCACCCCCGGTTTCCCTTCCTGCATTTTCAGTGCCCCCCCCCACTCCCGCTCTGGGCCTTCAGGGACCCACACCTACCACCAAGGACCTGGGGGATCTAGGCTATTGTGCCTCTTCATCAGTGGGATGGTTGTATTGAACTTGCTTACACGGCTGGACTCTTCCATCAGCTGCTTCTTTTCAAAGGAAGGGAAGGCAGAAGAGCAACACCAGCTAACTCTTCTCCAGAGCTCCAGGTTTTCAGAGGCTTTTGGAAAATCTCAGCCTGGGAACCAGCAGCATGGGTGGGAAGTAAAGAGGGCCTCCCAGAAAGAAATGGGACGTGGGCTCATTTGTGTCCCCTGGGGAACCGCAGGACCATGGCAGAGACTGATAGCATTTTGAGTCTGGGGTTGGGGATTCTTAAGGCATAAAGGGCCCTGCAAAAGTATGAGGTCACTCTGCTGTCCCCCTGCCACCAAACAGTTCCACCCCCCAGGCTCCCACCCCATGCCACCCATCCCAGACTGGAAAACTGATGCCACCCTGAGTCATCCCTTCCTCGACCCCAGTCCATCAGTGCCAATGACCTGTGAGCAGTCTCCCACCCCACTGCTCCCTGATTATGGCCATGGCCTCTGGGCCCCCAGACTGGGGCCCTCCTGTCCTCCATGCTGCCCCCCTGCAACCTGAACCCCTTCGCTTCCCTGCCTCAAACTCACCTAGTACTCCCAGTGCCTTCACCTTACAGGTGCCACATTCTGTGAGGGTTCGTGCTCACCTCCTCGGCCTCATGCCGAATCCCCTCCCCTCCCTACGTGGAAATCCACCCTGCCTCTGCATGGAGCTGCCATTTGATGTCTCTAGGCCTTTGCTCATATTTTCCCTCTGCCTCTCCCACTACCTTTCCCCCATACCTTCCTCTGACTCACCCCCAGGACTAGCTGAGAGGTCACTTCTAGAAGTTTCGCCCAGGCCCCTGGGCAATGAGCCCGTCCCTCCTCTCCCTCTTCTGTACTGTCCCGTTGGCAGCTCCATCAAGCCATTTGATCACCACCTGGCCACATGTCCCCTCACTGCCCCCACAATGTCCCTCCAATTGCACATTACTCCTGAGCCCCCGGAGCCCCACCCTGTACTTCTACTGAACACCCAGTCCATTGTGGGTGCTCAGTTTGTTCAGAGGAAGGGTGAGTAAATGAATGAGAGGCATGAATGACTAAATCCAACCCTTTCATTCCTGGAAACCAGATTCCGAGTTCATACAGATCTTCCCGTTTGACCCACTAGCCTCGGGGAGGCACTGGGAGGGAGCGTGATGGAGTGTTTACGCGTGTGCACGCGGGGGTCACGCAGTCTGACTCAGGCTCTCCAGCCCACCCTTCCCACTAGCTACCTGTCAATTCTAGATCGGCAGCATCAGTACTACCTGAGAACTTGTTAGAAATACGGATCCTAGGGCTCCTACCCCAGACCGACAGAATCAGAAACTCTGGGGTCGGGGGAGGATGCAAAAGTCAGTCTTTAAAAGCCCTTCAGGGGCTGTGATGCTCCCTGAAGTTTGAGAAGCATCTATTTAGGCTTGCAAACTCTAGCTTCCTCATCTAGTAAATGATCAGAGAGTTATTGTGAGGATCAAATGAGGTAAATGTATTTTTATGAGTCCTCCTTGAGAACGGTTAGCACTCGCGCTGCTTGGAATGCAGAAGTGCTAATACGCCTGATTAAACAGTTGGTGCCGTCTGCTGCCCCCTCGTGTGGTATGGAGAGTCAGTACCTTCACAGACATCCACTCTCCCAACTACTAAATGGGACTAGACTAGGAAATGAGATAGATCCTCAGACCTGTGTCTCTGTGGATTATTAGATGCATCTGTAACTCTCATAGAACAGACCAAGTGGTTGATGGAGACACCCAGAGAACCCTGAACTTGCAGAGGGAAAAAAATCAGTTCTATATAGTCTCATAAGTTCAGGAGATGGAGAAGACAGCTTTATGTACCCCTCTCCAGATTCCACACCTCCTTCCCTCTTCCCTGGTGGCTTTGGCAAAATGCCACAATTCCTCCTCTACAGCGCCACCTTCTGCCCAAGTCGAACCACACCAGCAATTACGCTTCCTGCTTCCATTTTTCTCAAATGGAAAAATGCTTGCGGGGAAGAATTTTATGCAGATTGGAAGTTCTTAGCCCAGGGAATAAGGGCCTCGAGATTGTACGCAAACCTTTGAAGCCGTGTATCCGTGTGCCTGTGCATTTTTCTAGAGGTAGTTTCCACAGTTCCATCTGATTTTTGGAGGTGTGAGTGTAGGCTGTAAAATGCTAAATGCTAAACCCCTGAGTGTAGACTGTAAAAATGGCCCCGCTAGATTATTAAACATCCACACTCCCAGCCCTGATCTCACAAACAGTCACACACAGGTTGTGCAAGCATTAAAGAGGAGTCCAGTTAGTGGACAGCCACCTGCCTGGGATATGTTAGAGAGATTTCACTAGAGCAGCGGTTTTTAAACTTGAGCACGCATGAGAATCCCCTGGAAGGATTCTTTGGGCCCCGACCCAAAGTTCTGATTCAGCAGTCTGAGGTTGAGGCCCAAGAATCTGCATTTCCGGCAAGTTCCCAGGTGCTGCTGCTGGGCTGGGGAGCACACTTGAAGATTGACTGCTCTAGAAGATCTTCTTCCAACTGCTGTGTTTTGATGCAGACCAGTCCTTATTGAGACTTGAAGATAGCACTCACCTTATCCACCTGACTCGGTTCCAAATGTCTGTGGCTACTTCCAAACTTTTAAAAGAAAAAGCTTTCAGAAGCATGTATATCAGCTCTGAAGACAATTTCCAAAGAGGGCTTCCCAAACTGCCTTGGGCATTGTCAGAAGGAAATGACTGGAGGCCAGGGCTTAGTCCTGCCAGGCTTGCTAAGAACTTTCCAGTCGGCCGAGTGCAGGAGTGTGAGTGTGGGCAGCAGCTCCTCTCTGCCTGACCCCTGGCTGGCTGAGAACTCAGCAGAATCCCCAGCGGAGGACACGGGTGGCACTGAACCATCCCCGCCCCCTGTGGTCCTCCTAGGGACCCAGGGTGGGAGTTGAGAGAATCAGGCTCTGAAATGGGGTTCCTCTGAGTATAAGCTCATTGTTGCACCCTGGAATTCTCCCCCTGCACTCCCGGTTGTAACTGGCTGTGACCACCCCTGCCCCCCACAGATAACTCACGCAGACACACACGGAAGAGCCTGGTACTCTCTTCCTAGAGGGTTCCAGACCACACCCTCCGTGACCGGGTGTGATGGTTCTGACCTGGCTCTGCCCGTTCTCCGGCGTCCGACTGCAATCTCTCTGCTATGCACAGTTCGTTTCCTCTGATTTCACTGATTTCATCTTTCAGGGACACACAGGGCGCCACCTCCTCTCCGTTCCCCTTTCCTCTGCCCTCCCTCACCCACATAAACCCACATAAAAAAGGAGGACTTTATCAGCCGGCTGCCTGGTTTTTATCGGGCCCTGGCCTGCGCTCTGTCGGGCACTTTTCCTCCCGAGGCCCACCGGACAAGGAGGCCGGCGGCTGCCTCGGAGAGAGAGACGGGCCCGCAGAGCGGCCGCGGAAAGCCAAGGACTTGCAGTCAACGTCGGTCCCGGGGGCCTCCCAGCCCTGGCTCTTGGGCGCCCTCTTGTGGTTAACGAGCCAAAGACCATTAGACTTGAGCTGCCGCGCAGACCTCAGCGCCTTCCTCCCGGGCCGGCCCTGCTCGCCCAGCAGCCCAGCTCCGAGGGATGGTTTGGGGGAGAACGAGGGCGCTTTCCTGGCCTCCGAGGAGGGGCCTGAGCCGAGCTTCCTCCAGTGACCGTCAGAGCTGCAAACGCTCTGGTCTCAAGTTCCACCCTCCCACGCCCGCAGGGGTGCGCTGGGGGAGTGTCCCCCCTCCTCACCCCCCGTTAGGAAATTGAGCCATCCCACACACACCCCCAGACCCTTAACGTCACTATGTTAGGTAGAGTGGGGTATTTAATATAGTAAGGATGGTGATAACCAGTCGCACTGTACTTGAACATCCCAAATTACATTTTAATTACCAAAAAACAAAAATAAAAAACATGTTCCTTGTAACTAGTGAAAGAAAAGACAAGTTAACTGTTTGTCCCTAACTTCTTTATTCCCAGCCTCTTGAGATAACCAAGGTAAAGATCCTGCTATAAAGAGGCAAATAAGGTGCATGTTGGAGGTTTACACTGGTGTCAGTCTCTTAAAAACATGATTCCCTCATGTCGGTAGCATTCTTCTTGATAGCAGTGCGGTAGCCTGGACGTTCTGCGATGGATTCGGTGGTTCCGTTACTGGCAGACATTCGGTGTGTTTCCAGGCTTTGCTATTGCAAATAGTACAGCAAAATGTACCCCTTTCATACTGGGGACTTTATTGCTATAAGGTAGATCCCCCAAAATGAAATTGCTGCTTCAAGGTGTATATTGATTTTAAAATAGATTTTAAATAGATACTGATGATTTGGGGGCAACACTGCTAGCCCAGCAATGTTGTGGGGATTCACATTCCCGTCAGCCATGTGTTAGAGGACCCACCTTCCAGCATCCTTGCCAGCCCCAAACATGTTCTCTCCTGGGATTTTGCCTATCTAATCAATGAGAATAATACTACCTTGTTTTTTATTTACATTTGAGTATCTTTTTGTGTGTTTGGATTTCACTTTCTCCTCTGTGAAATCTTCCTACAAATTGAGGTGTACATTTTGAGTTGTGGGAGCTCTTTGTTTATTGTTCACATTTTTTTATTAAGACTTTATTTATTTGAGAGAGAGAAAGATACCGAGAGAGAGCATGAGCAGGGGGAGAGGGAGAAGCAGGCTCCCGCTGAGCAGAGA